AATTATAAATTTATTACTATTCCCAGTAACATTAGTCATTTGTACTTTAATCATGATGCTGAATTTAGTAGTTTAAAATACAAAACATTTAGTAACATTATAGCTAAAGTTATATAATTGTTTGAATTATTATTTATACTTAAAAAAAAGGATTTGAATATGCTTTTAATTAACAATAAAATATATTTTTAATTTTTTAAAATAGTAATCTTAATAATTTATGAAGAAAAGAAAATATTTTTATTTAAGAATTATTGTGGAAGAATGAGAAATTTCATTTCATTTGATGTGATAAATAGGAAAAAATAAAGCACATTGATTTTTATTGAAAATATTTTTAAAAGTTTAGTTTAATTTTTATGATTGTTTTAATAAATTCTTATTTGACACATGCACACAATATGTAGGAGACAAAATAGACAAAAAGAAGTTTTAAATTGTTGAAATTAGATTAAGTGTAGGCATTTATAAATAAAATTAAAAGTTAACTAAAAAAATTAATTTAAAAAATTTTAGATTTATATGATCAGAAAGAATAGAGTTATTATGGTTATTAACTAAGAGTAATTTTTTCTCTTTCTTCAAAATGTGAGCATTATATTAATTTATTTTTGAAAGCATATTTTCTGTATAATTGCTCTAGAAATCTGAAGGATAAGTTAGACTTATTTTCTAAAATTAAAATAGGTTTGTCCTGTGATACTTCTTTTTTTCTGTCTAAGGCCCATTGCATTAATGATGAATAGTTAGAATCATTATGAGATCTTGTGAGAAACAAAAATTGTTTATTAATTCTAATATTGATAGATCTAAAAGTAGAACTAGGGTTTCTCAAATGGGATCCCAGTTGTTTTTTTAACCCAGGAAATTTTTCTTATACCAGGAAATCCCGCAAATTTCTTAAAAATTCACTTTTTCTTATTATGTGTTAAGGCTGAGGAAATTTTGCAAATAGAAAGTATAATTAACTCATAAACTGTTAGAATACATTTGTATTTATTAATTTTAAACCTACTTATTAGTTTTTTTAATTTTTGCTCGTTATGGCATGTCACAAATGGTCAATAATCAATACATAGCTTATTTGTGACAGGACTCTCAAAATTCTTTACCTGTAATATCTGGAATAATTGTGTTTATGCTATCTTAATTTTTAACCATGCCCAGTAGCTTCAATAACTGCGTAATGCCAAGTTGTGCAAATTGGGCAAGGATACAAACGAGTACGAAGTCTGCAAGTATGAAGTTATTCTTCCTAACCTGATTATTAAAGACAAATGAACTGCCAAATTATTGGGCTATGATGTTTCTATTAAAGCAGTTGAGGTAGACAAATCAAGAATACTACACTCTCGAAAACGAGCTACAAATCTTTCAGGATACAGGTGAAAAACATAATATTTATCTTCTCTTAAATGCATTAAACACGATTCCAATCACATCAATTGAATCGGGAAAGGCATTCTCAGTAGCAAGACTTTTCATTACTAAAATAAGAATTAGATTGAGTGACTGGATCATCTTTGCTTTTTAAAATCTTATAAAAGTGTACTTTGTCTTGTTGTTGTTGTATGCAATTTCCAACAAACTTTAATAAATTTTTTTCTATTTGTGTAATTCAAAGGTAATTTTTAATATATATCTTACACAGCATTACTAATATGATTTTGGAGATTGCAGAACGTATTAAATTACTTTAAAAAATGAAAAATAATTGTATCATTTGATTTCATGATATTTTGTATATCTTAAAAATAATTAATTTTACCCCGGAATTCCAGGACAAGCAAAAGACCAGGAAATGAGAATCCCTAAGTAGAACCTATATAATAAGTCATTTTCTTGTTTAAATAATTTTAATAAATACACTCTAGCTCTGTCTTTTATTTGTTTGCTATTCTTATCTAAACTTAAAAAAAATATTATGTTAAGTAGTTTTCAAACCTGTTATTAAAATATTAGTTTAATAGTTTGAATACCATCTAGTCTGATAGTGTTTATATATATTCAGATAAGGATACCATACAGGATGAAGACAAAGCTGAAGTAAAAATCTGTTTTATTCCAACTTAATCAAAATACTATAGTTTAACATGATTAAATTCTCTTGAGGTGCACAAACAGTACTTTGCATATCTACATAAGAAGAGAATTAGGGTTTTCATTTGTTCTACGTAATATTTTATATGAGTTCTGGTTCCACATTAGACAAGTTTCTTAACTTGTCTAATGTGAAAATAAGAGGTTTTTGGGTACAAAGAACATAACCTGAATAAAGTAATATCTTGAACTGGATAAAATTAAATCTAACAAAACAAAACCTTAAGTTATAGCACAATTATATTTTCTATATAACTAATATTTTCAATCTTATTAAAGATCATCATTAGACTAGACAGATTGGAATCTCAAAAATACTGTTATATAGAACAGTGGTCACCAACTAGTAGTCCTGGACCACTGATGGCCCATGAGAAAATTTTGGTGGTTCATAAGAAATTTGGACATTAACTCAAGATTTCACAAAATATTAAGAAATAAATGCAAAATTCTTGGTTGCTTTTTCTCATTCATTGGGAGAGTGTTTTATTCGAATTTAAACCAAAAATGTAATGACTGTTATCAATAAATAATAATGACAATAAATTACCAACAATAAATAATGTGAGTGCAATTGTTGTTTTGTAGAAAAGAGCCATGAATCTGTAAGCTATTTCAAACAAGCAGCAACAAACTTCACACTTATCTTATAATATAATCGAGATGGGTTGATAATGATAATAATAATAATAAGCACAGAGCCCAAATGGTTAGGAGTTGAAAGTTGAAATTTGGTACACAGTTAGGGTACATCATGAGAATGTAAACTGAGAAGGGATTTTTTGAAATTTCCACCGCAGAAGAGAGAGAGAGAGAGGGTTAAGGATTACCCTGAAGATCTCTGCTTCTACTGTACTATTTTAGATGTCTTTTTTGCATTTATGTTAGAAATCAAACATATCTTTAGACCAGGCATGGCCAACATATGGCCCGTCTAATGAATTTATGTGGCCCGCGATTCATCTGTCAATATTAGCTGCTTAAGTTCGAATATCTCGAGGAAAAATTCTGAAGGCTAAAAAAAAAAATAAGGAAAAAGAAAAGGTCAACAAGTAACTGTGCGATTAGAGTTAACGTTCCATTACAAATATCTTTAACACAGTGTAGAATGTTAATAATGCATGATAATGTGAAAAATGAATCTGTAATCTTTATGTACAATTTAGTCTATACGTGGTGACACCACCTCAAAATCTTGCTAAGGCAGCCTCTGGTTTGGCCCGGGGACAAAAACTGTTGGCCACCCCTGTTTTAGATCTCTCTAAAAATTCTCAATGATATTTAGTGTTCTATCGTATATAAAGTTAACACGGGGAGCGCATTTGCATAAGTTTGCTTTATTCGATTTTATATTTATGAATGATTCAGGAAGATCCAGCTTATTATTTGAATTTAGTAAACCTGAAGAAGAACCCAGAAGAGGTTACAAAAATGTTTGTTGTTAATCATTTAATGATACTATGCACCGGCTAGTGGTTGCTGTGAATCTTAATTACGATTATCCCAGTATGGTAAGCAAATATCTAAAAATTTTCTAATTAATTTCAGAAGAGGGAGACCTAATTCTTGCACTCAGTGAAAACGGTTAAGATTGGCTATAATCTAATAATCTTAATCTTTGCTATCATTACTTTTTGTCCGAGCAATGCTAGGCTCATCTGCTAGTTTGTTATAATTAAACAAGAGAATTTCATATTAATAAAGTAAAATGGAACATTTATGATCATTATTCTATAGATGTTTATATCATTTAAAAAAATTCATGACAATGGTCTGCAGGATTAAAAGATGTGAGTTTAAGTGGTCCATGAGATCAAAGGTTGGCAGCTGCTGATATAGAACATATATGAATTCAAAATAAAATGTATGTTTGAATTTGTAGAATAAATTTCATGTAACTGCATTTAAAAGCTCTTAAGATGACCTTTGAATAAGGTTAAAAATGTGAAAGATTGAAATAATTGTGCTAGAAATTGAGGTTTGGTTTTGCTAGAACCAATAAAGTTTTAATGTTGGACTTATTAGTCTTACAATTTTTTAGTCTAGATTCATTTTTTTTTCTATCCACTTGTTTATCTCTTGGTTTTACTATCAAAGATGTACTGTACATCCAAGTTTCATTACCAGTAATAACATTCTCACTCCAACCTGAGTAAACATCAAACATCTTTAATGTGTTCTGTGAAATTTTCAGGCAGAATTGTATCTGCTGGCCTGTGAGAAAATGAGGAATAAATTCTGCCAATGTATGTTTCAGCTTAAGATCTTATTATGATGGCTGCTATTTTGCTATCTGTTGAATGGTTACTCTTCCATCCACACTAATGATTAATTGAATTTTTTCAATGTTGTTTTTTTAAGGCTATATGTATTTTTGATTATAACAATTTGTCTGGTTTGAATTGTTTATGACATTTATAATGTCTTGATTTTGTTAGAGCTTCCTGCCTATCATTTCTACCATGTTCTTATTTCCTTTTCATATTTAATGAAAAAGTTTATATATATATTCTATTCTTCTAAATCTTCTAAATAAAAATAAATTTTTGAAAAAGTTGTTTTATTATTTTAATTTTTTTATGAAAAGAACAATTAGTATATGCATATATGTGAGAAGTTCTATGATTGGTTTATGAATTTGCTTGACAGAGATCATGCATAAATTATGAAAATTTGTATCATTTGATATTTTTTATTTTACATGTCCATTTCTGGAACTTTTTTGAATGCATTTTATATTAAAAATTTCTTATTATTTGTTTTTAAACAAATTTTAATATTTATGTAATGCATTAAATATAAAAATATATAATTGTGAAAAGAGTAATTGCTAATAATACATATATTGTTTAAATGGTATTTTATGTGCATTTACTTATATTGTATATTACTTTTTTCAGCAGATAGCGAACAAGGTTCTTGGGAAAGTGGACTTTCGTACGAATGCAGATCATTACTTTTCAAAGCTTTACATAATTTAATTGAGAGGTATAAAATTTTATCATAATTTTTTTAGTTATTGTATAAATTATTATATAAGGTATTATATTTCATTGGATTAAACATTGAGAAAAATAAGATAATATCTGAAATAGAGGAAAATATTATACATTGTCTATTTTGAAAATTTTTTTATTTTAATGAATATTTATTTGCTAATCATAAGAGTCAGTAAGTTATAAATTTTAAAGATTTATGTCAAAACTAAATGGTAATGAATTTAGTTTTGGTTTTAAAAAATTGATGCTTTTTAAATTAAAATTATATTTTACATCTTGTATGAAATAAGTAAATAATTATGAAATCAATTTAATTAAAATACTTTTTAAATTATGTTTATTATAATATAATATATTTTGTTTTAAAAATATTTCTCTGAAATTGAAAATACTTGATACTATTCATGTAAACTTTTATTTATTGAATAATGCTTGGGTCCCATGTTACATGAAAACTGAAATGGATAATGAGAACTGAAATATTTCTCTGTTTCAGCTAAGTTTCATAATATCTGAATACAAAACAAGATTTTTCTAAGCCTACTTAATGATACTTGCTAAAGTTAATTATTCTAAAATAGAGAAAGCTTTAATTGCTTTGCTATTCCTATCAGTCTATCAATTTTAAGTAACCTGTTATTTCAGCATTAATTTTTGTTACCTTTTGAGAGGGAGTTCTATGAAACAACTTAGTTTATTGACATTATCTTTAAAAACATTTCATTATTGTTAAACTATAGATGAAAATTAAAATATTTTAAAATGTGTTTTTAGTCAAGTTTCCCCTGAATTGAAAGCAAAATTACCAGAAGTTACATCATTTTCAGTTGTATGTTCAGGTAATATGAAACCCAGGCCAATGAGATGTGTAACATATGCAACAATAGTTTTTATGATAGAAAAAATTTTTACTTTAGTTTATTGTTCATGATAAACATTATTTCTAATTCATTAACATTAACTAATGATAGTGGTAAATGTTCATGCAGTTTACGTGGACTCTAGAATATTTTCTGGATTCTAACTCTCTACAATGTTATGCACTGACTTTTTTGAGTCTGTTCATGTTCATTTAAGCTTTATTATAAATTATTTTGTTAGTTGCAGCAATGCTTGGGTGATCTGTTTAGAGGATTGCTAGGCAGGCCACCCAATGGAATCTCTTAACAGAACCACTCTTTTGTTCCCTGAACACTGAAAGTTCAATAGTGGGTTCACACCTCACCAGGACAAGCTGGCCATGTGGAGTTTTCCAGGTTTTCTTCACATCTTTAATGCCTAAATAGGGCCAGTTAACCTTAAAAAACCTTCCAGAAAGCATCCCTACGCAGATTGTACAAGTGTTGTGTTGCTATTTATGTTTATGTTGATATTGGCTATGATGGTATTTAACCAACATGTTCTTTTGCTATTGACAATTCCATGAATTATGAATGTTTCTAATGAATGAGCTTGCATTTCATGCCAAAATACAAGAGCCTCTCTTGATGATCTTGCTCTCCAAAGAAATTTTCAGTTATATGTGCTCCAAAACTCTTATTCATAATTCTGGCTGTCTGGAATCATTAGGAGCTTTTGATGTATTGAGAAGCTGATTAGTAACTAAGGCCACCTATATTTTTACCTAGATAATCCAGGAAATACTCTCTATCTTCAGCATCATTCATAGATTGGATGATGACTACTATCACTCAAAACTGATAGCCTTGTGCAATGATTCAGACACTGGCAGATATGCTGGCTGTATATGTCAATGTTAACCATCCCCAATAGGTTCATATGTTTCCCTTTGTCATCTTTGTCTGTATAACAACTCCAAGCAAGAGAGAATTAGATATTCACTGTTTCTCCTTTTCTATGACTGACCTGCTGTAGTATCCATAGACATGACATCCTTCTGCCACTAACCTTAGGAACATCAGGTGATTACAAGTGTTGGTCTACACTTCTTTAAAGAAATTCACAACTTGGGCTAGGTGCACATGCTGTGGTTCAAATATGCACTATGTGGCATTATGACATCAACTCTATCAACCTGATAACTTTGTATGATGTTTACATTCAAATCTAGCAACAAAATTGCTAGATTTTTGAAACTCTTATTTTGGAAAATTCTTATGCTGCTAATTTGGACCTTACCGATAATGTCAGTATCCATTGATGACCTATGAGGTTGAAGCCTTTCTTGACATAACAATAACCAGACTTCTGAAGAAATCATCCACATCATCAGGTTAAAACCATGCATCACATTGATGTCTTCAGTTGAGAAATCTTAAAGGAGAGAAATGAAATGGAATTTCTCCTCTGATCACAAATTTTTTGAATTTGAGCTCTCAGCCAATAGAGAAGAAACATTTTGAATTCTTTCAGTGTTTAGAGTATTTGAGATTTACATTGAGTCTAGAAAATACTGGTTTTCAAATGCTCTATCACAAAACATTTGATTTAAACTACTATAATTAATTTGTTATAATTAAGAGTTAAACAAAATGTATTATTTTAACAAAAATATATTCTGTGCAAACAAGATTATAAAATGAAATAAATACATAATTTATTTATTAGAAATTAGTTATAATATGTTTCTGCAAAATTTATAGTACAGTAGAGTTTTAACTATCCAATCTTCAATTGGCTGAGCCATATTATATGCACATGCTTATTGATCATAACTTTAATACTTTTTTCTTTTTGATTCTGCTGGTGGTAATCCTATTTTCTATTGGCATTTGTTTTGGTTTGTGATCATACTATTTTGCTCACTCTCAATGCTGTTTTATCTGTATGATTTATACTTATACTATTCATATTGTGTTTGTTTTATTTTTCCAATAGTAACCTAAAGCTATGAAACATAAATGTTAAAAAAGCCAATTGGAAAAGGATAAATGCATTTAAACTCAACAGCTGTATTTGTTGGTTTTAGCTTTAGTGATAACATATAGTGGCTCAAGTGATCAACAGCGACAATAATCCATTTATTGCCTGATAACGATGTAGGAAAATATCCCAAGAAATCAATGCTGATGATGTAAAAAGGTACTTTCAGAAGAGAAATATGGACAAGTTGCTTGATTGATGCTTATAGGAGAGGCTTTGGCCATAACATTCTTGGCAGTCCTTGTTGTATAGTCTAATATGGCAGTTTATTTGTTGAGATGAATAAAGTGCCATATTAGACAATACAACAATAATAGTGGTTCTGTATGATATGCTTATAGGTGCAGGTGAAACCAATGTATTTGGTCATTGAGTTATCGTGGTAGACTTCCAAAACAGAGCAGCAGAGAGACTGTGAAATAATGCAGTTTTAAGGCAGGCTTGTTGGATTATAGCTTTGTTGATAAAGAGATAAAGAATTTTGTCAAACACTTGATAATGTGCAGAGCCAGCAGCATCTTTGGTCAGTTAACCAAATTGGATTGCTTTGCCAATCTGTTGATGTTGCCTCTAGTTAACTGTACCTTTGATCATGTTACCTTTTTAACCAAGGAGATTATCACTTGGATTAAAAGAAAGAACATCAGCATCTAAATGTTTTTACCTAGATTTATGTACAATACTTACATTGTACTCCTGGAGATGGATCCCATCACGAAAGTCAACTTAAAGGATCACAGAGGTTGGCTAATCAACATAGCAAGTAAAGATCAAGTTACCACTCAGAAAAAATGTTCATATAAATATAGCAGATGGTGGTAAGGCATTTTTTTTTATTGTCAAATAATTTGATTTTGCTTTTATTATGGTGTGACTTGCATGGGAGATAATAATGGGATAGTCAGCTTGGGTTTGGATGAGACTGACGCTAAGTTTATAACTGCTGGTATCTGTATGTAGCTTGATTGATGCATCAGGATCAAAGTGTTTCATTTCAGGTTCTGAAGCAAGTACAGCTTGCAATTGATTGGAAATCTCTTACTAATCAGGATTCCACCAGAGTGAGATAAGTGACTTGGTGATCATAGCAAATTGGTCAATGAAACAATGATAATTTAGTGATGTATTCAGAACCAAATTACAGTGTGATACAAAAAAACATTGAAAAAAACAAACGTTTTCGAATCCCTTCTGGGCTCTGCATCAAGTTCTTAACCATTTCTAGATGGTTATTCAATTATGGAATGATGTTTGAATAAGAGTTTGATTATAAGTTCGAAAAAAAAAAAATTTTACAAAAATCATGTCACGCATGTGCAATGAGTTGGCCTGCCTGTCATGCGCGACAAGGGGTTTTTTTTAACTTATAATAAACTCTTATTTAAATATCATTCCATAATTGAATAACCATGTAGAAATGGTTAAGAACTTGATGCAGAGCCCAGAAGGGGTTCAAAAACGTTTGTTTTTTGATGTTTTTGTATCGGTGTAGTGAGTAATTATTTACTCAATGATAATTTAATTTATAATTAAAAACAGAAACTTAAGAAAGCTTTGAACTTACTAAAGGTTGTTGGTGTGGGAAACTTGAGGGCCACTTATCAGGGTTATGCAGAATCCTTTTTCCATTGATATGATAGTGTAAGTTTTGAGGCTTTGGGTTTTGAGTCGTCACTTTAGTTTCAACTGCAAATTTATCCATTAGAAACATTTGGGGATTATTGACAGATGCTGCAGGAGAACTAAAACAATAGAGAAAAACAAAGCCGTGTTAAGATAACAGAGGCATATGTTCCATCTAAGGCCCATAGCAGTCCACCTACCATGTTTTCAAAAGTTAAAGGCCCAAAGCAGAACCTGAATGAAAGGATTTGAAACTCATGATTAACTTGACATGGGTAATGAAGACCATCTTCTAACAATCTTGCTTGTCAACTTTAATTTGCCAATAATCAGATTTTAGATTCATCAATGCATAGTATTGCACCTTTTTCAAGCAGTCTTGCATGTTATTAGCTGTTGAGAGTGGATAGATACCCTCCATGATGATAACATTTAACTTTTTTATAGTTGATGCAGAACCTCTCTATTCATCAGAAGGTTTCTTGATTGAAACGGCTACACTGGTCCATGGGGAGACACTAGGTTGTACAAGGTTATTCAAGTTTGACAGAGAGTTTGCCTATAAAACATTGAGTAATAATTATATGACGAGAACACTTTCTGTGAAGATACAGTATAAATCTCTCATGGTTATATTTGTTTTATTGACGTATATGCAGTAGTTGCAGTAAACATGGCATCAAGCAATATGTTTGTAACTGTGGAGCAGCAATCTATCATCTTATTTCTTGTAAAAGAAAAGATGAAACCAGCTTGAAGATTGAAGAAGATTTGAGAAAGATCTAGAAAAGATTGAAAGCACAATATGGAAAACAAATGATGCCACATGTGAGAGTGTATGAATAGTTTTTTTTATTCTTTTATTTGTGATTTTAGGCCAGCCCTTTACCACTCAGAGAGTGCAAAAAAACCAAATGTATGAAAATGTCAGCAGTTTGGTGAAGGGTAAGAGCTTGATTACAAATAAACTGCATAGTTGTATTAAACTTACAACAGTCACAGAATTTAACATCTTGCATATTCAACAGCTCATCTTAAAATTAGTGAGTTTTAGTGCAGAAATTGTCTTCAGAAGTGAAAATCAGTGGCTGTTATGTTGAGAAAATCATTCACTTACTTCCAAAACATTTACTGCTTTGGAAAGTGTCTACCAGGTGGGTTCCACAACAGATTACATTCAATCAGAAATCAACATGCAAGACAATTTGTGAAGGAGTTCTTAAGTGTTTTTGAGCTGAAAGTGTTTGTTTTCTGGAATACTGGAAGTAATCTCACATGCAGTGAAACTTGGGTGCTATATTTCATTCTGGAAAACAAACAAAACAGTAAGAATGACAATATCAATGTTCTCTGCCTTACAAAAAATGCAAAGCACAAACCTCTTCCAGAATGACACTAACAGCTGTCTTCTGGGACTTCAAAGACATTATCTACATGAATTTCTTGGAGAAAGGGACAAGAATTAATGCAGAGTATTTTCAGAAGAGTGCAGCTCTTCTGAAAATCTTTGTACAAGCTATTTCAAAAATAGACCACAAAAGCTGTCAGAAAAGGTCTTTATTCTTCCTGACAATTTCTGACTACATACAGCAAATCTGACAGCAACATCTCTCGCTGAAATATGCTGGAAAGTTCTGGCCCACCCTCCCTTACAGTCGTGACTTGGTTTCAAGTGATTATCATTCATTTGAATTCCTTAAAGAACATCTGGGAGAAATAAAATTCAACACAAATGATGTACTCTAGAAATGTGTCCTGGACATCAACCCACTTCTTTCTATATCAAAGGAACCTTGGCAGCTGTATTTGAACATTCAAGAAATACTTCAAAAAACTGACCTAGTTTGGTGAGTGTATTACTTTTCTCATTTTCTCTGTAGAAACAAAAGTCTTAGTCAACTCTGTGATGACCCTTATATTATGCTCTGAGGTAACATTTTGTTGACTTCATCATTAGTAATCTTTCGTTTGGCTGGTAAGATCCATTTTGGTTTCTGTTTGATTGAAGGGTTCCAGTATCGATTTAGTGTTTTATGTCAGCATTAGCTTATTCAGTTAGTGTCTGACTCCAAATATTAAAGTTTGTTCATGAATAGTTTCAGCATGTCAGATAGTTGTTCAGGCAAACATTGACTGGAGTGATGGTCATAGGATGTCTTGATCTTTTCTTGATGTGTCAGCCTCAGGACTCTGTCATAACAGCAATAGCAAGAATTATATAGTATTGACTTCCTGGTTACCTATGTGGGTTCTGGCAAGTAAAAGCTACAGCATTGTATGGACATTAATGATCCATATCTTCAGATGACCAACATGAGATGGGAGCAAACCACTCTGAGCAATTAGATTTCTTTCCAGCGTCAATTGGCAAAAATATTTTGATAAAGGATGCAGATACATAAAATGAAAACAAAATTATTTCACTTTCTGTATTGGCAGCAATCCATTAAAATATGTGATAAAGTACATTATAAATATTATAATATGAATATATTGTAAACTACTACTATTATATATATTTTTTAAGACACATTATTATTATTATGACTAAATACTTTCACACTAAAAAATTGATAAAAATTAATCCTGGTTTCAATATAGTTATTGAATTTCATCATAAGGTGAACAAAGAATGCTACTCTAACAAATATCGTTAATGAATTGCTATAGTTCTTGATAAACAAAAAATACAAAGTTTAATTTATAAGCATACTTATACATGAAGTATATTTTTGTTTGTTTGAATGTGATCAAACCAAATATTGTAATGCCACTAATATTATTTACTAGTCTATGTAACAATCTTCCTTTAAAAAAATTGGCAATTTATAATAATTGAAAAATATATTATATGATGATGATTTAACAAATTAGTTTTATAAAGAAACAAAATTCTTTTCAGTAATAAAGAAAAATAATTTGAAGTTTTTTGTTGTTTAAATAGTGTATATATACCTCATAATTTTAAATAATTTAAAGTATGCTTTATTATTTATTTTAATATTATTACTTTGATGAAAATAAGTTATATTAAATAAATTTAATTAAAAATAAAATACTTTTGTTATGACAAAAATAACATTTTGAAAATGTGAGAATATAAAAGTTCTTTAATACATTTTATTTATGAAAAAAGAAAATAGCTTTATTTTTATATATAAAATATATGTATTAATAAACATATATATACAAGTCAAATATTAGCATTGAGTATTAAACAAAATAAAAAGTAAGTTTTAGTAAAATGTATTGCACAAAACTTCATTTTTAATTAGTATTAATAGCAGAAAATGGATGATATTTATTGCTATTATTAAATTTTAATTAACTTTTTTAATTTTGTAGATGCTTATTATCAAGAGGCATCACACGTCTTGGTAAATGGTTTGTTCATCCATATGATGGGTTAGATAAACCTGGAAGAAGGTAAAAAAAATTTTTTTTAAACATAAATAAATATACTTTAGGCATTTTTCTAACTGAATTTTTTAAATTTCTTTTAGTCCGCAGCTTACATTTGCTTTTAACTTCTTTGTTCATGGAGATAGTACAGTTTGTGCTAGTGTGGATGTCAGGCAACACCCAGCAGTATATTGTCTTACAAAACATCACTTGCTGGCTGCTCATTCACATTCTGGAATTAAAGGTATAATACTATACCTTTATAATTATACAATTATTGATTTTTACAATTATACATAGAAAGGTATAATGTAATTTAAAGAATCATTTTTACATCTTATTAATGTAGAAATTAAATCAGTGATGAATAAAAAATATTAATGTTCCTATAGAAGCAATCATTTGTATTGCATGATATATCATATGTAGCCAATAAAAGAATTGTTAAATTGAATTATTTTGGAGTTTTTTTATTCAAAAAAATTTGGAAATTTATTATTTCTTTCCACATAGGATAATTACTAATAATAGCATGAATAATAAAAACTACAATATTATGAAATATAATTTGAAATTCATTATTTATATGTATATTATTAAAATCTATTTAAAAATTTTTTTATTTTAGTAATTCTCAGTCCTTTTGGTATGGCTGGTACCTTAACTGGACAAAGTTATAAAGATACTGATATGACAACCAGACGTTTGTTGGGTGAATGGCAGCAGTTTTATCCTTTACCATCATGGGACCATAATAGTAGAGATCTTGGAAATGAAGATGAAGATATGCCTTGTGCAGTTGAAGTTATAGTTGGTAAGTTTTTTGATACTTAAATATAAAATTGATGTTATAATAATCATTTATTATTTTTCAATGAATATCCAAAATTCAAGTGGAAACTGGAAAAGTGTTATAGGTTGATTTATTACAAATATAGGTACATTGAAATGAAATTGATCTTCAATACAGTCTTGTTATGTTCTACAGACTTCCTTCAGTGGTTTGTTAAGACGTAAATTTATCAAGAGAAGAAATTTTCCTCTTGCTATTACAGATAATCTTAACACTATCTCTTTTACCTCATGTTTGATTCAGAGTGAACACCTACATAGTGTGTCTTTGAAATGCCAAAAGAAATTTAAATCATTAGTTCAAAATCTAATGAATATGGCAAATGTTATGACATTTTAAATTTTAACTTCTGAATATGCTGTAAGGTTTGATTATGTAAAGTTGGATATTGTCTTGCTACAGATACATACACTGAAGATAAATCCCAGTTTTTCATTTGAATTGCCTGCTTCAGAATGCCACAATGTCTTTGGTAATTAATTTGCTTTGTTTCAGATAATGTTTAACTATTACTTCTTTAAAATTCCAGAAAACAGTTAATAACGATTATCAATCTATCTTTTGCTGAAGTGAACTAACTGTTATAACATGATTCTGTGCTAATGTATTTGCTTTCCTAGTGAGAACAAATGCATTTAGTTGTTTATCTTCAGTAATTACCAATGCAGAAAAGTTTTTCTTCCCTCGTATACAAGAAACAAAGAACACTCATCCTGTGATGATTCTCTCATTCCTGTTCTCAAATGATTAGGAAGCCATTGAACTTATTTTTTTTTTGTAATTGTGTATACAGAATTAGTACTAATTCTTTTTCATAGCAATATCATTGATTATACAGCAGAAGTTCATTAATCCAGAATGTCTGGTAATCTGGTGCACTCTGATGATAATCTAGCATGTTAGTATTCAGCAAATCAGAATTTACTTGGACACATTAGTGCTAACATAAACATTTTGCATTCAGTGACATGTATTTTTTCCTACATGTCAGTGTGAGGCAGTGCATCTAAAAACAGATTTCTCATATTCTGGATATGTTTAGCTTTTATGAATCATATATATGATTCATAGAAGCTAAACATATACAGTGTATGTCTGGAATTAAATATCACATGTACATGAATCATTGTGAATGTTGATTTGTGTAATAATTTGTTCTCATCAGTATTTTTGTGGGGATTTTCAATGAATTTAAACATAGTATGGCCATGCACTTCATCATTGTCAGACTGATTAAAGGGTGTGTGTAAACAAATTGAAATTATACAGTAGTTTGCACTGGTAAATAAATTCAGTAAGTTATATGCAATCTGATTTTGTGAAAATGCCAAATTTTTGTATTTTTTGTATTTTTGATGATCCAGCATCAATCTGGTCCTGTATTGCGAGAGTGGTGCTAGATTGCAATAGAAGTTTCAAGTAATGAGTCAATTCTGTATGAGATTGATTATGCAACATAAACAGACAACATATTTTCTGTAGAGTTTGGCCAGCATAGCCATATTACAGCAGAAACTACAATACTTTGTTCTTCATTAAATGTTTTTATTCTCTTAACTTCTATTCTTCTTCTTGGATTTTAGATTTTGGAGTATTGTAGTTCGGGATAGGGTTTCTGTTGTAATATGGTTATGCCTGGCCAAACCCTACAGAGATTGATATTATGGTTACAATCACTTTCAGCATTATGATAATGTGTTTGTTTAGGTCAAGGAGAATCTTCAGTACTTTGCATTCCATTTTAAAATTTATTAGCTCATTCATAAACTTTCATTTTTTTAAACATTATTCACAGCATACTATGTATATTTAATATACATTTATAATTTTGATGGATTCTACACCTTCTGCAGGAAGAAATCTGATTACTGATTAGTTTGTTTGGTGCACAACTACACTAATAATCCAAACAATTATCACAAGATAACTTTTTGTAGTGTTGTGCAGTGTTGTCAATAGACCTAAGCTTCTAAACAAGCAGCTCTCAACTTGTGGTCTGCAGATCCTTAACATTCCACTGATAAAAATTCTAGGTTTCATAATAAAAGTAGTTTTTGAGCATTAATTAAAAGTTCAAAATTTGTATTAAAAATTTTTTTTAATGTTTTAAAAACTGTTAATATTCTGTAGGAAAAGGGGGTGTGTGCTTAGTTCTGTACAGCTCATATTTGTGGGGGAAAAATCCATTGAGTCTAAAGCCCTGGTCACACTATGCGATTTCCAGCCGCGCAGGCGACTGCAACCGCGACGGCTGTTCCCGTTAACTAGTAATCCCCCTCGAAAACCGGCGCGACTGCAATCGCAACTAGAAACAAAAGGTTTGTTCTACTCGCGACGATTGCAAACACGCATCCAATCAACAAACACCTTTATGCCATGTCATACAGTGACAACATTGAAAATAGTTTATCATCATGGCGGATAGTCAGAGGATTAATACTTTTACAGAATCGAGATTGATCAAGCTTATTCAGGCTCACGAATACCTGTGGGATTTCAATTCTTCGTTTTATCGAAGATTTTATCTTTTCATGTATTTTCGCCAGCTCTATTAAAATAATCGCCTTTTTTTCTTTTATTCATTCCAGAAAAGGAACTGCTTGCTATTTTAATAAGAAAAGTAGCTAAAATTCCGTAAATACTCTGAAGTAGAACGTAAAATATCGGCAAACTCACGAAAGTAGTTAAAAACAAGCTACTGTAATTTTATTGGTTTATTATAGGATCACGTGTTTCCGAGTTGCAACGTCAACGAACAATGTGTGACCATGAGAAGACGCACGCGACTCGCGTTTGTTGCAGTTGCAGTCGCCTGCGCGGCTAGAAATCGCATAGTGTGACCAGGACTTAATGATTAGAAAATCATACCATGATACCATGTAGTCTTATTTGATTCTTTCCTAAGTATTCAATTATTTGTATTTGATTGCTAAAGTATTAATTCCTGTTTGAGAAACTGTTGCCCCGGGGTTAGCAATATTTGAATACTTTAGTGTTTATTTAGTGATTTGCAAAAAAATCAAGTGCATTTGATTATCTCATTGCTAGTTGAGCTCTCATTACATTTGCTGATGAAATCATTTTACAAAAATTATTAACTAATTTAATAATTGAAAAGCAAATATTATTAATGTAATCTGTGTTTAGTAAATTATTTTTGATTTTCTTTCATTTTTTGTTTTATTTATGATCAGTAAAAATTGTTAGGTTTCAAAACTTTTATCAAAGTGAAAAAGGTTCTACAATTTAAATAAGTTGGGAAATGCTGTTCTATACTATTGCAAATTATTGCCAACGGTTTTATAGTTTGGATTCTATATGTTTTCCAATTTCTACTTGAATGACTTTTATATTTTTTTTTTGAATACTGCAATTATTTATCCTATAATGTAATATACAAAAAAATGTATTATAAGCAGAACATTGACAACACTTATTAACAGTATAAGAAGCAAAACATTAGAAACATTAAAACTTTCTAAAACTAGCAAAACTTTAATGATCAAACATTTTCAACATTTTTAAAATGTCTTCATCAGGTAAGTATAACTAATTAGAATGAAACACATTAAACCTTACAAAATTAAACTGTTGTAGAGCTATTTGATTTGTTTTAAGTTAATAGCAGGAGAGATAATAAAATACAAATAAATGTGTTTGATATGCAATTATTACATTAAAGGACCTGTAATACAAAAATAAATTATTAAAGTGCTTTGTGTGTCTGGGATAGGCTCAGTTGTGTTCATGTAGATAGAGCAACTCATAGTATGATGCATCTGAGGCACATGTTGCCTTATTCATATATCACTAAAAAAAAGAAACTCGACCTTCATGGTACTACCACATGTTGATGAAGGCTCAAAAGAAGAAAAGGCTGATTTCCTATTTCCACCTTTTATAGAGATATGGAAATGATGATAAGAAAAACACTCTTCAAATTTGTTTATCATAGAAGAAAATTTAATAAGCAAAATTTGTAGTTTATGACTAGGTCTCTGTCAAATCAGAGAAAGGTATTCTTCTGCATGTCCAAAAGTGCTCAAAATAGCTTTGACTCTATAGCACTTCTCTTAGCTTGCTGGTTTAGGGTGCTTTATCACACAGTTTGTGACATTCTGCTCCTCACATTTGTGTTGGGCAAATTAGGTAGCCTAGGAAAATTTGAAAATTTGCTGTCATATTCTTCCAATCAGTTTGACATTACCTCGAAACAGGAGTCTCCAACATCTACAGCATCAGGGCCAAATATGGTCTTTTAAGTATATTTATCTAGTCCACATAACTTCTTTTCAGTGACATGTTTAATTGTGAACATTGAACTGCTTCAAAGCATAATTATAATTTTTATAAGCCAACTACAATTAATAGACTTTTCTGCAAATGATTTTATAAAAAGCTATTTAAAGAAGTGTGATTGTTAAATTTTCACAAATATCTGCCAGAAGAAAATTTTAAAGCTTTTTTGAGAAATTTTCACAGGGATATTTTCTAATTTTGCTTCTATATACCTTTCCTAATAAATCTTTTTGATAATGAAATATATAAAATCAAGGTATTGAATAATGCAAGATTTTAATATTGGACCAGAAAATTTATTCCCAACTTTCCAAGATGATATTTTTTTGAAAAAGCAGTTGCAAATTTTACATTGATTTGTTTTTTATTATTCAAAAATAAAAAAATCTTAACCTTTCATTATATCTTTTGTACCAGCCTGCCAGACTCTTTGCAGAGAAAAGTTGTAGGCTCCCTGCTTTGGAGCAATGATATAGTGCATTTTCCTGCTGAAAGATTGGCTCCCATCAGGTTACATAATTTGAACCAAAGGGTTTAATTAGTCTTCCTGGAGGCTACAATATCTTTCACAGTTCAGATTTTGATGTACAGTACCTATAAAAGTCTTGAAATGCCAAGAGAAATACACCAAATCATAACATTCTTTCCCACCAGCCTGTGTTGTATATGAAGTGCATTCAGATACTAAAGACTCGTGCTGTCTACACTATGTCCTAATTTGGCATCTACTTGAAATGGGATTTTGTTTGATTGGTCTAGACACCTTTCTCCATATGTCTAAGGTCCAGTTGTAATGAAAATGTATCCATGTGTCTTGTAGTCATTTGTGGTAAGGTTTTATCATAAGCATTCTCAAAGGATGTCTGCTGTGGAAACCCAACTGATGTAATTTGTTGCATAGTGCACAATGATAGAGGTTCTGTGTTATATTAGATGTCAGCTGATTCATTTTAGCATGGTATTGCTGGTTTCCAAATGAATTGCTGCATTATGATTGGGTAGTAAATAATTAGGTGTAAATCAGTTTAGCTAGAAGGTATAAGCTATTGGAATTTAAGCTATTATAAATCAATTGTTGTTTATATGTGTCAGTGAATAAAGTTATATAGCTACTAACCATTACAAAATGAAGTTTTTTAAATAAAAGTTTTCTAAACATGTAAGAGTAAATTAATTAACTGTGAATAACAATTAATTTATTATATTTTCTAAAGATATTAAATTCTTAAATCTATTTTTTGCATGACCTGCAGGCTGCATGTGGCTTATGAGGTTTTAATATGTGGCTTTTAGGACTTTGGCAATGTAATTTTATTTTCTTGTTTTCTACCTCATGCTATTATGCAATCCAATTAACCCGATTTTCATGATAAAGAACAGTCAGATTAATCTAGACCAGTAAAAGATGAGAACAAACTATAATATATTACTTGTAAGAGTCTCAAGGATATTTATACTCTTAAGACAAGCATTGCAGTTATTGGCACAATAACTGCAATGCTTGTGGATGCAAAAAGTTTAATGGTTATAGTTTTAAATTTGTGTTCTTTGTAGTAAACATGTCTCCTTTTTTATATCATTCCTACACACATATTAAGACAAAACATTATTAGGCTATGGTAATTAGTAAGTTATATATTATTTTAGTACCTGGTCTACTGGCACTTATGGAGTATGTTAGTACAAAGCAGTGTTAAAGTCTAAAATTACAGAAGAAAAATGCATATGGCTTGCCAGAAGCTTACAAAGTTCACTTGCAGACATTGTTCAGAAAAGATTTTTTCATCACTGATATATGGTATTGCTAGATTACAAGATGACACATACATAGATCATCTCAAAAATATACTAACTGTGGCCATCTTTATTCTTTTTTCTAGTTTGTGGTTTGTCTTGTGGTTGGTCCATACATTAGATCATGGGTCAAGTGGTCAATAAGGCATTTTCAGGGTTGATTGAAAAACAGTTCATTAAAAATTATAAGTTTAGTGGATTGTGTATATGACAATTCAGAATGTTGCAATTTGCACAATGTAAGTAGATCGTGTTCATATGCTTTAAAAAAGTAAATTAATAGGTTTATACAATAATGAAAGAATAATATTGAAGTAGTTCTTCCAAAAAGTAGAAAACAAATGTAAAGAGATTGCATGTATTTGTGTACAAAAAATCATCTGTCAAACATGGGAAAAGGTGTGAAACTTACAGAGAAAGAATAAGGACAAATTGATATTTTATGGCCACAGTTGCAAAACTATTGGTCTGTAGCTGCCCAAATAGGAAGGAGTCACATTGTTATGTACAACTAAGTTTAATGCAAGAGATAACTGGCAAATTTTAAGGATTGCAAGCAACAGTGTGACATCAGCATAAAAATTGCGAGTGAATTAGAGTTAAAAGTTCATCCTCATACTGTTCAAAGAGTGATAAAATCATCAGGACAACTTAAAAGAAAAAAATTGAAAAGAAAATCTCCCCTAACTAATGAACATAAAACTGTAAGATTGACTTATGCATGAGATCACATGTCCTGGGATACAGAATGATGACATGTTATGTTTTCAGATGAAAAAAAGTGTAGTCTGGATGGTCCAGATGATCTGAACTTCAAAGAAGAGATGATTTTATCTTAACGACAGATGATTGGTGGTTCCATTATGATGTGAAGTGCCATTTCTTGCAAGGGAAAATCACCTGTTAAATAACACTCATCACATAAACCAGTGTTTCTCAGTGGGGGCAATATCGCCCCCATGTGGGCGTTTTTCCATGTTGAGGGGGCAATTAGTAACAATTTATATTTTGGGGGCAAAAATCAATTTTCTGGGCAATATAGTAAAACATTATGTTAAGAATAATTAGATATTTTATTTGTTATATCGTACAATAATTAAACAAATAACATTAAACTAGTCACTAGTCTATTCAATGCAGTATAAATTTGGCGTTAGCCTTGGCCCTCGACATCGGAATTTTGAAGTGAAGAGGCGATACTACGTAACGGTTTTATTGAAGGGGGCGATACTACGTTGAAGGGGGGCAATGATTCATTAGAGGTTGAGAAACACTGACATAAACCATCACCAGTTCATAACCAAACAGAAAAATTCTTTCTACGAACGTTTTCATCTATATGTAATAGACATCCTCAGGTATTGATATCGAACTAACGGCTAGTAGAATAGAATGTTTTTGAAGGCTCCATTTAACTACGTAATTTGAATATGTTGCATTAAAATTGAAAATATGTAAAATATTTGAAACATATCTGAATAAATAATAAATTGATTTCACGTAGATCATGACGTAAATATCCTCCGTAATATTACATGTAGATGAAAACGTTCGTAGAAAGAATTCTTCTGTTTGGTTATGAACTGATGATGGTTTATGTGGTGAGTGTTATATAATTAAGTACCCAGTTTTTTGAAATACAGTATATCACCTGTAAACAGACAAATGGATTCAAAAAAGTGTCAAGAGCTGATTGAAACTACTTTACTCCCAAATGTACTAAAATTAGCAGACAGAAAGTTTTATTGTATGCAAGACAATGCACCAGTCTATTCATCTTACACTAGAAAAAATTGACTTTAGCAAGAACAAGTCCAACTGTTGGATCATCCACCTTGATCTCCAGGTCTAAACCCAATTGAGAATATCTAGGGTGTGCTCTCAAGAATTGTATAAGCTAATGGCAAACAATACAGTTCAGTAAAAGACTTAAAAGTTGCAGTGGAGAAAACGTGGCATGCTATACCAATTTCCATACTCAAAACATTTATTATGAATATGCCACACCACATCTGAGGTTATTCAAATAAGTGGAGAGTTCACAAGATTTAACATCTATTATTTGCAGTTATTTTTCAGTTTTATATTTATTTAGATATTAAATATATCCAGTTTTTAGGAGTTTTATATCTATTATATTGTTTCTATTTTAATTATGTAGTAAAACTTCATCCACATAACTAAATTAAAATCTTGATATTTCTATTAAAAATGTTAATTATTATTTTTAATAATGTTAAACTAAATACCAATAACATTATTATAATGATATAAATGTTTTAAATTAAGATATTGATCCTTTTCATTTCTTTAATTTAAATTTATTGTTTTAAGTTCAGTCACTAGTAAACAAGTTGAAAAATTGAATAATAAATTATATCATGCATTATTTGTAGCATTTTATTTAATTGTATAACAACAGAAAAGTCTGCTATTTTCAAAACTAATTGTTTTATTTTTACAACATTTAATTGTTTTTTTAAAATTTAAAGTAATTATTGACATCTACATTATGATATACTTTTAATTTCATTTTTTTAGGTGGTGTGAAAATGAGATATCCTTCTTGCTATGTGTTTTTTATTGAAAGTGATGATTTAAGTCAAGACAGGATATTATCAGGAATAAACAGTAGTCAGACATATGTACCTCTTTCTGCTGGAATTGCAACTGTTCCACCTCAGTCATCACATAAAACAATGGGTGTTCTTACACCACCAACGTCACCATGTGATCCATCTGGTCTCAATCATCAATCTCATAGATTTAATTCTCAATCATCAACAGTGGTATTATCTGATACATTTAATCAGTGTCATCAGCCACAAACATCTGTTCAACAACATTCTAAAACTTCATATAAAACTAAACAAGCAGTTTGGCAAGACTGTACTGTTAATCATTGCCATAATTCAGTGAGTCAGTCAGAAGGGAATGCTGATGAAAGTGTTGGTCAGTGGGATTTTATTGATCCAGCAAATCAGTCAAGATGTAATTGTTCTAGGTAAGCATCTTTATATAGTTTTTAAGTTTACAAAATCTATTAAATTTTTACTGTACAATATATAAAAATGGTTTAGAGCTGAGCTTTGTAAAATAGAGGTCTGTGGGATAGCCTCGGGTTAGGAACAGAGGCAATATTTTCATTAAATAAAATTGCTTCAGGTGTAATATGATATCATTATTATGTGATATGGAAAAATTAAAAGTAAAAAGTGATCATGCAGTGGAAATAAAAAAAAATATATTATACAGAAGAAAAATTAAACATTTTTCTTCTGTAAATTATTTTTTCAATGGAGCATGATGACTTAAGTTATAACTGTTCTCCTCACAGTTATGGCTCAAAAAAGTTTAAGAACCACTGATCTAGAGCAGAGCTTCCAATTGGGCTGATGAAAGTTTGGCAGGAGGTCAATGAGTAAATTAGATGTATATTTTACATGCGTATATAATAATTTAATAATCTTTTATTATTTAGTAATATCAATTAAAAATGTTTGAAAAAATTTTCACTATCATTTTCAGAACTCCAAATATTAAAAAGTTTATTAAAAAATAATGTATGTATTTTTCTTCAAAAGAATGAATATACAAAAAAGGTTGGGAATCCCCTGATCTAGAAGAAAATTTCAACTTATGAAATTATTTTCTGACCTGTATGTCAAGTTTACCCTTAAAATTTGAAAATACACATGCTCTAACACTAAAAAATTATTTAAAAGCCAATATTTTTAAACCATTAAGCATTTCAATCATTTTGTTTAAACCCAAGATTTTTTTTACTTTTCCTGAAATATTGCAAATTTTGCATTATAAGATTAAATTTAAAGATTTGAACATATCAAAAACTATTTGCACGTTCTTAACGGAATTTCCGGGCACCTTGTTTGAATTTTAAAAAATTCTGTTCCTTTGGAACATTCTGCACGTTCGTTTCATTAAAATTTGTCTATTTCACCTGAAGACAATGGTTATACACTCGTCGAAAGTGTTTGTGTTAATACTAAAGGAAACTTTATTAACACTGAACTCAGTGAATTTGTATTCAGAAACTATATAAAGCTTGGTGTGAGTTTTTAAATTTAACTTTTTATTTAAAGATTTTACTCTAAACCAATGATGATCAAATTTTTTCTAATTTTTAAAAGTATTTTGTAGCAACAAACAAATAATTGTATGCTAAACAATAACTACTCCAAAAGCCGTATAACATTGGGCTATAATTTGGCAATATTAATTATAAGTATTGGGTTTGTTGTGGATATTTATTTATTTATATGTTAAACATTAATGTAGTGGCAACTTTTATAAGCTGAAACAAACTTAGTCTTGAAAAACATTTTATCATCATACATTAGGATCAGTATTAGCATATAATTTCTTCTTCTTGTTGTTATTGTTGCTGTTATTAATGGAGTTGTACGTGACAAACTATTTTGCATTTAGAAGAAATGTAAAATTGGTCAGTGATGTAGAAGTCCCTTGGTTAATGGTTAAAGTTTCATTTAATAAAATATTAAATGAAACTTTAATTTTAAATGGTTTATATAAATAATTTTTCTCAAATTATCTATAACTTATTCAATATAGTTTATATTTAATTAACATGTGCAAATTAATTATTATTTTATAGAAAAATAATGATGGATGATAAAAGAATCATCCAATCCTTGAATTATAATTTTAGAAATTATTGTAATTAAATATTTTTAAATCTTGACTGATCTGAATAAAAATATTTTACAAAAAGTGCTTATTGTAAATTTTCATTATGAATAGACAATTCTAATAAAAACTAATTAAGTTGATTCGTTAAAATTAAGAATATTTTTCTTGTTCACCCTTTTCATAGTGTTATCTATCATATTGTTGTATTAACAATGTACTCTTATAAAGTTAATGTTGCTGTGCATTGCATTTAATATCACAAACAGAAAATATATTGAATAGTTATCTAAAATAACCAATTAATAGAGATATATGAGGCTTATCAAACTGTAATGGAGTCAAGTAATTGATTACTTGACTCCATTACAGTTTGATAAGCCTCATATATCTCTATCAATTGGTTATTTGAGATAATTATCTAATTTAATTAGAAGCTTATAACTAGAAAATATATTTATTTAGAGTATTGTACCAATTACTGCTGTAAAGAATTATGAAGTCATAAAATTTAAAAGCCATAGTATGATTTAATGAATTTTAATAGTTTCTTTTATCTTATTTCTTTAATTAAATTATATCCAATTTCTATATTGTTTCAGAATATTACACAATTTTTGGGGATATTTTAGATCAGTGGTTCCCAATTAGTTTTTCCTGCGTACCACTTCAAGAAAGAGCTCAAACTCACTCACCCCTTATAGCAGAAATTCATATTAATCCATACTAATATTATAAATTCGAAGATAATTCTGTCTGTTACTTTTTCATGTCTAAACTGCTGAACAGGTTTTAATAAAATTTGGCACAGAGATAGCTTACATGTTGGACATGGACATAGGCTACATTTTACTGCGAGAAAATATCTTACTCCCACGAGAAAATTCTATATAATGCAGGCGAAGCTGTGGGTAGACAGTAAGTGATAAATAGATAAGTTTTTTTACATTTATTACCTTTAAAATACAATTCTAATAATAATGAAAATAACATAAGGTTATTTAATTTTAATGTGACAAATGTGCACTATTTTCTTTGCACAACTTTGTAAAATCTGGTTGCTTTTTGGTCAGCTTCAATCTCGAGTCATCTTCAAGCTGAAGTCGTTGACGATGTTTAGTTTTCATGTTTGTCATGGCTGAAAATTCGCTCTCACAGAGGTATGTTGTGCAAAATGGTAGTAAATATTTTATTGCCACTTCGCTGACATGATAATAATGATAATTGTACAGTTAACATAAATTGTGTTAATTGTACAATTTTTGTTTCTTGCGCAAGAATTTCATTTAGGTATTGTCATGAATGCATTTTTTGATGAAATTTTGAGAATATATTTAGTTATAAATAAAAGAATTTGTACATTCAACATCATGTTGTAAATTGCCAAATTTTTGATGGTTCACCAATTATTTTTTTGATTGCTTCATCTCATGCATTTAAATTTTAAATCAACCGATTTTAGATTGCCGCACGTACCCCTTCATGCAATTTCACGTACCCCCAGGGGTACGCGTACCACTAATTGGGAACCATTGTTTTAGATTAATTATCAATTAATAAGTATTAAGAATAGCTGGTAAAACTTAATATAATAAAACCACACTTATTTAGCTACCTTCAGGATATACAATTTCTAGCCACATAAATGAGGTAGTCAGTTAAATGGGGTTACAAAAAAATTGACATACAGAACTATAATTAGAGTACTGTACTAAATCCTGTTAAATGAATTAATACACAACTTTGCAAACTGTTCCAAAAATACAGCAACAAAGCTCATTTCTGTTTAAAGTGCTTTAAACAATAGATTGAATTTAGGAATGTGGGATTTTTCTGTTCTGTTGGTTACATAAACAAGATAAATGTCATTTTAGGACACTTCTATCTTGACCACTTACATGAGGTGGCCAGTGATTTATATTAAAACTTATGCAGATTTACAAGGGAATTTTATGGGTACCACAAAGTAGTTTTAAAACTACTTCGTGGTACCCATAAAATTTTCTTGTAAACCTGCATAAGTTTTATTATAAATGTGGTATTTAGCAACAGAACCGATGTTATGATAAGAAAAGAATAAAGTAAAAATTAATGTATGAAAAAAGAGTATAATTGAGTCAGTTATTACTATATTTATTTGCATATAAGATGAGAATTTTATTTATTTTTCACTGCTTCATAAACCTAAGTTATCCTATATGCACAAGCAAAGGATTCCTTGCATTCTTGCAATAATTTTTGTGAACTGTATAGTTCAAGCTGCCATTATAGCAGGGTGCTATCAAGGCCAGGGTGAATGTCACTTTCAAAGAAACTGTCTAAAAATAGCTTTGAGGAAAGGAATGACGGGTCACTCTTCAATATTATGGTATTTTACTTTTAGCTTGTGTAGTGGAAAGATATAGTCAGCAAAAAACTTGCATAGAGTTGGAGGTTTGCATTTAGCCTGAGTAAAAAGATTTAGAGATCTGTGGGTTTTTGACAATGTAAAAAGTAAGGAGAACACAGTACTCGGCTTCTTTTTAAGAGAAAAGTATTTTTGCATGCAGAAAAGAGCAATAACTGTGTTGCAGGTTGTGAGTTCAGTGTATCAGAAGTGTGCGCGCAGAAATGGCGTAATCAACAAGATTCATTGTTTAATTGTGAAAGTACAAGAAAATCATTTTGTGGATTGAAAACTGGTGAATATCTAAAGTTAGAAGAACTACAAAATTTTTTGAAATATGCACAGTAGGTGTATGACCATGGAAATTCTCCAAGCAAAAGCCAGAGATCTCAGCATTCAAAGCAAGTCATGGTTGGGTATCCTGCTTCATGAAAAGAACAGGATTTTCCATAAGATGTCAGACCTCCATTGTTCAAAAATTACAAAGCCAAGCTGATCCAGTTTCAGAGGCATGTCATCAATTTAATTAAGAGAACAAACTAAATTTATAATAAGCCAAATTGGGAATGCAGATAGATGAGAAAGGCTTTCATATGCTAAGCAATACAACTGTCCATCAACAAGGGGAAAAGCAAGTATTGATTAGGTCGGGGGAATGGAAAGCAAACAATCATGGTCACACTGGCATGCACAGCAGATGGTCATAAGTTGCCACCATACATTATGCTGAAGCAGAAAACAATCCCTAAAGATGAAGCTTTTTTAAGAGATGATGTTATTCAATGTCATGAGAAAGGCTGGATGAACGATGAGCTTGTGATTGACTGGTTAAAAATGGTATGGTTATATTGACCACAAGCATTGTTAAAACTATCGTCAGTTTTAGTGATGGATGCATTAATATAAATAAAATAAACCTTTAACTATCCAGCAATAAAAATGTTTAATAA